GAAAGTTTGGGACTTCAACAGCCCACCCTTGAGCAGCCTCAGGCTTCATTTTGAAGTGAATTGCAGAATTTTTAAAAAAAATGTGTTTTCACTTTTTCAAAAATCATATGTTGAAAAAGTTGCACCGTGACATGTTTCAACATTTAAAAGCACAAAAGTTTTCCTTTCACACCTGTTCACCGGCCAACCAGCTCCCTGTCCCCGGTCCCTCCAATGTGGCGAGTTGTTTGTGAAATGCTTCCCCAAAACATTCTGCGCTTAGAGGAGATACATTACGTCAGTGGTAGCCCACGATGTGTTTTGAAACCTGAGTGTTTTGCTTAAAAATATAAAGAGTGTTTTACAATATCAGTACTTAAAGAGCTTCCTGGTTTATTTTTCAGCTGTGCAATATTCTATTGAAGGCAGGTATCCTAAGTGATCTAGGCAGGCTCCTCCGGAGGCAGTTCCAGTAGTAGGGCAGTACAAACAATGGTGCAGTGGGTAACTTTGGCCTTCGTTGCTGTGCACACGTGCCGTCCACCTGTAGGATATATTCCTGGAAGCGGAAATGCTGGGTCACATGGGATGTGCATCTGTAATCGTGTGAGGCCGTGGCAACTCGTTCTCTGTGGAGGTCATTCAGGCCAAACTGAGGCAATGTATGATAACGTCACGCCCTCGCTTCGTGTTATTAAAACTTTCTGATCTTTGCCAACCTGCTAGATGAAATGCGATCTTTCAGATAGTTACCGCGACGGTTTTCATGACTTTCTTGTTACGAATTTGATTCCATGAAGTCACATTTTTCACGGGGCTTGGTCACCTAATCGGTTCTCTTTCTCCAAAGCTGCATTGGTAGAGGCACTGATTTTTGGTTTTTTAATTTAGTTTCGTGAACAAGTACAAATGGCTCAGATTTCTAGCAGCTTTCGAAGCATTCTTTGACTTCTCTCTCTCCTGCTTGTCCTCAGTGTGGGACTTACCACGTGTTAGAGAGAGCATCAAGCTTCAGAGTCCTTACCAAGGGCCCATTCCGAGGCTCTCAACTAATGTTGTAGTCCTAAATTAACATTCTTTTTCTTAAAGGAGCTGCCTCAAATTTTATAAGCTTCAGCATGAATATGCTCCTGCTTGCTGCCATCATCAGGTTGCAGTCCCTCTGCTTGTTTTAAGTACTCCTCCAGAATTATTTTATGCACGTAAAACCACATACAGATCTAGGGTATTTACCTCTTTTCCTATTACCCTTACTTTTCTCAAGGTATCTTGGAGATTTCTCTATATAAGCTACGGAGAGCATCCATATTGCTTTTTGTTTGTTAAAAATGGCAGGGCATTCCATTGCCTGGAGGTACTGGTCTTTACTTAATCAGCCCTCTACTGGCGGAACTTAGCGTGTATTTGCTTTGTTTTGTTTTGGCCATTTCCTAAGTTTCCCGGCAGTTTTCAGAGACTGAAAGGGTAGCTAAAAGTCTGGTGTGGACACAGGTTTCAGAAGACGTAAACTAGGTGACATGGCAGGGGGATCCCAGACTCCCTCACTCCCCACCCTCTTTAGGTATCTAGGACTCTCTTATCCAAACAGGTCCCCTGGTGCCTGTGATTCACAACGCAGCATGGGTATGTGCATCCGTATATTAAGTTTGTGATTATGAAACAAAAGATGGTCTTGCTAAAGAAATTCCGAGTATCCGAAGGCAGCAGGGAGAGATCACTGTAAGCCCAGGATGCCTCTGAAATCATACCGAATAGGCACTGGCTTCTGCAAATAGTCCATGAGGTCATATTACTCTATCAGTGGCATTGCCACAGCCCACAGAAGTATTCCCCCTGCACACACACTAACAATTTGTTCTGCTGGACCTGATGGAGAAAGATCGAACAACCCAGGCATGCTGGATATCTTCTGCGCTCTGGAACATTCAGTCCCTTAGAACTTTGCCTCATAACCAACTTCAGTCATTACTTCCTTCTGCTCTTCGGGTTCAATGCCAACGCCTTGCGCCTTGGAGGCATCATTTTGGATAGCTAGAAATGCAGCCTTTCCATTCTTCCCACCCTCTTAAAGTATCAGCTGTCCAATCTCCTTTTCCTATAACAACCTGCTTTCTGGATAAGAAGGATCATAAACCTGTCTAACTTGGGGTTGGCTACCATTTCAGTCTCTGAAAACTGCCCTTTTGCCCAGTTACATCTTTTGTTCGGACACTTTGGCTCTTCTCTGATATCTTCCTTAGAGCCGCACTGTCCTTGATCTCCTTGCAAGGGGGTCAGTTAAAAAATACAGAGAGAATGCAGGGAAGGGGAAAATAAAGTCGAGAGAAAAGAATTGATGAATCTATGCTACAGGACTAAGAACAATGTTTAGTACTTCTTTTCAGTTTAAAAAGTATTGACAGGTATATCACCTTTTCTGAAGCTCACAACATCCCCTTGGAACAGACAGGGTGGGTGGTATCTCATCACCATTGTATAGATGGGGAAGCACAACAGTGTCCATCTGATCGTGGCATACCTGAACCCAGGTTTACAGGATTACCCACTCCATCGCAATTTGATGCTTCAGAGCTGATACCCGCCCTGAGACCCTCAGGAAGTGATCTGGGGAGCAGGAGCAGTCTGGAATGTCTGTACTAGAGTGGGTCCCGGGGGATTTGTCTTCAAACTCTATCTGGGTGGTGTTTCACATAAAATTGAAAATAAAAACATCGATTGTATAGATCAGTGGGAGTGCTGCTATCCAAGATCTGTGGAGGAAGATCACATGTCTCTGTTTCTTCTCTCAGTACCCTTTAGAGTTTCACTGTGGTCCTGAAGGGCCACAGGGCTAGAAACTCAGACCCTCTGAGTACTTGTGGCAGAGACTGCTAGATGTTTACCAAAGTAGTTTTCTCTTATTCCCAGGTACATATGGAGACTGTATCTCCCAGACTGCTTTGCGTCTTTGTAGGACCCTATGACCAAGTTTTAGCCAATGGGATGTGAGCAAAAATACCCAGTCCACTTGGAGGTCAGGCCCACTAAAGCCTCCATGCTTTTTCTCCTTCCAACATACGGGACAACCTTGGGAGCCACAAGGTGTAAGGACCTGAGTCCTCCCCCCCCACCTTTTTTCTTTTAAATTGCAACACTGGGGCACCTGGGTGGCTCAGTCTGTTAAGTGTCTGACTCCTGGTTTTGGCTCAGGTCATGATCTCAAGTTAGGCTCCACACTTAGAGCATGGAACCTGCTTGGGGGATTCTCTCTCTCCCTCTCTCTCTCTGCCCCTCCCTGACTCGTGCTCTGTCTCCCTCAAAAAAATAAACTTAAAAAATAAAAATTGTGACACTAACACTTGATTACCTTAAATTTTTATAATAATGTAGTGTTATTTTCCATAGCACATTTCCCATTTTGAGAGTCATCTTCTTTAACCTTTTAATGTTTATCATTTTGAACATTTTCCTGTACCTTAATATGCCCGTAAACACACACACACACACACACACACACACACACACCCCTTTTTCTCTACATGAATGAGAAAGTACTATAACAATATGACTTCTTTTACTCACTTATTTTATGAGAATCTTCTCTGGACATTAGAGGGATAAACCTTATTTAAAAAACAGGAATCCCCAGATACCAAACGCCTGCCTTGTTACTTGGAGGACTAAATGTAGATGTTGTTAGTATACTTTGTAGAATATTGTGGACAGAGAAATAAGGCACTTTGCCGTTTGGTAATGGAAGGAAGGGCAGCAGATTTAGAAGAAGTACATGCACCCAAAACCACACCAAACCCAAAGACATAAACTCATGTCTAATGTGTCCAGTGGTCATAGTCAAAGGCTTTGTACTGCTACGAAAATTGCCAAATAGTTTTAATAATACTGGATTTGAAAAAAAAAGGTATAGATTTATAATGTTTTCTTTAACAAACTCACTACTGAAGGATATTAGTTTGTTAGTGACATTCACTATTGTAAATAATGCTTCCATTTAAAATAAATGTACATGTATATATTTTGCATATATATATGAATATCTCTGTAGGATACGTTCCTAGAATTGGAATTGCTGCATTAAAAGGAGTGCGAACTTTAATCTTTGAAGATATATTCCCAAATTATCACTGAATCAATTTATATTGCCATCCAGACTATCGCCCACATGCTCAGCAACATTGGAAAATATTCATCTTTTTATTTTAGTCCCATTTAACGGGCAAAAAATGGTATCTCATGCTTTAAGATTTGTTTCTCTAATTACTAGAGAGCCTGTACATCTATCATCATATTCACGAGTGGTTGTTACTCGCTCTACAGTGCATGGCTCATTTGTCTCCACTTATATCTACGTAATTTTTGCTCAGTTAAAAAACTGATGTGTATATTACTGTTTTGTTCATTATATAGGTATTGAAAACTCTGCTAGCTCTATTTTTATCCTTTTTTTTTTTTAATGGGTTTTCAGAACATTCAGGCTGATTTTCTTGAATGTTACCTAACAATTGACGGAACAAGATTCCCTGGGTCTAGGCTACAGAGAGGCCCTGTGCTTAGTGGCGGTGGGTGTGGTTTCTGGAGTCAGGCCGACCTGGATTAGAGCCCCAGCTGTCACGTACTTGTAATCACAGGAAAGCTCTCAGTCTCTGTGTCTTTCTTTCTTTCCTTCTTTCTTTCTCTCTCTCTTTCTTTCTTTCTTTTTTTATGAGTGCAATAAAAAGCACTCAGCTCATTAAACTCAGAATTGTCATGAAATTTGGGCGAGATAATAACGCGTATATCTCCGTACAATGCCTGACACTTAGTAAGTGCTCGATAAGTACAAGATACAACAATTACTTACAATGTGGGCAACAGAAATACCAAATTAGATGCAAAGTTTGATTTCTGGTTCTAGAACCTTTCCCGGTGAAAGTTCTACTTAATAAGATCCAAGGAGGCTAATAAAACTTCCTTTTCTAAAGAGAAGGCATTTCACTTCCTACTATGCAGTTTCAAGAGAGCACTAAAGTATTCAACTCACTTACTGACTCGGGCAGTGACTCTTGAGTTCCTACGATGTTTAAGGCCCAGGATATGTGGTTATCTTTGAGTCCATTTCATTTTCTTCACGTGGAACTTAATTTTTACTCCTCTGAAAAAATGAAAATCCAAATTCCAATGAAATGAGAGGAAATCAACCAAGGGACAGAAAACTAGAAAATAAGAAAGACTCTTCAAGATCGTCTAGCTCAACGTTTCATTTTATAGATGAGGAAACTGAAGGCCAGAGGAGTTAGGCAACTTTTCTAACACAGTGAGTTAGTGCAGGGAGCTGAGAACCCACACACCCCAACTCTGAGCCAGCGCCGTGTGGACTAAATCCAGACGTGTTCAAGGATCCGCCTCCTTTTGCGATCAAACGATTTCAAAAGTAAAAATTAAAACAAAAAACAGAGAAACACTGATTAAAAAAAGACAAATCAAAACGAACCCATAAAGTTTGTCAAGAAAGCACGGAGAGTAAGACCCTGACCTGCTAGTTGGGGGAAGAGTCATGTTTTCATCCAGCGGGACTACATTCCTGCCCTCCTTTCAGACAAAATTCTGCCCTCGACAACCCATATTTAACACGGATGCTTTATACTCACAGCAAATAGTAAACAACAATCCCGAAGGTTGGCGGTTGGCAATCCCTGGTCCACATGCCAAAGATGCTGCAGGTGCTAATTCCAGGCGGCAAGTGAAGCCACCAAGCACAGATCCCCACCCTATCATTTCCAGTGGTTACTGTCCGCAATCGCCTCCACCCTCTTGCCAGTTTTCAAGGGCAACACCCTCACATGGCTCCCCATCTGGCACCAGGATCATCCTGGCCTTCCAGAATCACAGGCGCGGCAGTGTGGCACATTCCTTTGAGACCACTGCTTCCTGCAATAGAAATAAGTAAGCACCCCCAGGACTTTTGATATTTAGTGCTATGTTTCTATCCTAATTTTTCCCTTTCTTCTCTGTAATCTTAGAGCATCAACATATTCTTAATTATTAATGTCCATCATGTAAGAATATACTAAAAGCAAGGGTTGGATACATCTGATGGACTAGAAGATACCCTAACTTAGGGGCGCCTGGGTGGTCAGTCGGTTAAGTGTTTGCCTCTTGAGTTTGGCTCAGATCGTGACTGCGTGGAGCCTGCTTGGGATTCTCTCTCTCCTGTGCTCTCTGCCACTCTCTTGCTTGCTCTCTCTCTCTCTCTCTCTCTGTCAAAATAAATGAATAAAAGATATCCTAAATTAGAGGAATGAAGGGTAACCCATCCCCAGGCCCATATATTGTGGGTAGAAATCTAAATGCAATGAATATTTGTTCGTTCATTCCGTTGAAGTTTACTAAGTACGTACTATGAACAGTTCTGATGCCAGGCACTCAGGTTGTGGGCATCGGTGGATCTGCTACAAAAGAGCAGTTCGGAGTTGATCTAAAACCAGACAGCCTAGTCTTGGCTTGTAGTTCCACCAGTGAATAATTTTGTGACCCTGGGTGAATTAATTCATTTCTCTAAACTTTATTTCCTCATTGTTATGTAATGACAGTAGCAGTGCTCACTCCACAGATTGATGTGAAGATTATATTAAAGCATTTTATGTCACGTCTACCTATAGTAAGTGCTCAATAATTACCAGCTACAGTTAAACTTCCACTATACTATAAGCTGCCATTTGAGGCAGGTAAAGAAGGGTAGAAACCAGAAGATAGTTCAACGCTGAAATTTCGGAAGTGAGACAAATGGATAAATTGTCCTTTATTTACCTACCAGGTGAGTATGTTAAGGGTGCTTGGATCCTGGGGATGAAGAGATGAGCAGATTCTTGTTCTTCTCTTGAGGGAGAGAGGACACATAATTGAGAAAGGTCCTATAAATCCCAGATTAGAGATGGTACATGTTGGAAATCAAAAACAAAATCTGAAAAAAACAAAAACAAAACAACCCTGAAATCTGGACTCCTTTGCTTTAGGAAAGGTCCCCCATGTTTTCTTGGTGGAGGGGCCAGGAACATGTTCAAAGGGAGAGAGTTTCCCCATGGTGCCTTTGCCAACTGACTCACAGAGAGGTCCCTGAGTCCAGGCTGCAGGCTGGCCTCGGGGAAAGGCTATTCCCTCCAGGGCTACAGGGGAGATGCAGAAGCCTCTGGGGACAAAGGTTGGGGTGACCTCCTCCCCCCTTGTGCTCCTCCTGACTAGGGGATAGCTTTGGTACCAGGCTCAAAAGTTTAGCAAGTCTGACAGTATTAGAATAATTTCTGATCTAATGTTAATAATAATAACAACAGCAATATCTTATGTTTGTGTAGTATTGCAAGTCTTTAAAATGCATCCATTTGCACCACTCTTGTTTGAGGCCTTCAGCAGTCCTGTGGGGCAGCCTAGGCGGCTCTCGTTAGGCATAGTTGATGGATGGGAGACAGAGATTCAGGCAGTCTTAAAAGACTGCTCTGGAAAAAGCACAGCTAGCAACCAGTAGACCTGGGACTTGAACCCTGTCTGTAGCCACAAATCGTGGGCGTTTAAGGGTCCGGGGCAGGATCTTGGGCTTTCTGGATGCCTGGGCCAAACTTAGGAGAGCACTGCAGAGTCCGGAGTCTACACAGGTGGCTCCCTGGGCATGGTTTCTCCTTCCCACACTTTCCTGCTGCTCCAACTTGTCCCAGGAGAGCTATTTTCCTGTGAGATGCGTCCCTGGAATGACAGCTGTTCACGATTTGTCCTGCCCGCTGCATCTCACCGAATGTCGCCATTCAGCACAGCAACATATGTCAGGAGACAAATTAAACACTGTTTTAGGAAATATTGGAATTACAAAGTACATCCAGTTTAGGTAAGTTACAAGAACACTTTCTAAGGCTCTTCATTTTGGTGAGCCATCAGTTTAAAACTGCATTGTTAACGTTTCTCTTCCCTTGTTTTCTGTTTTACTGTCCAGCCTGTCCAAAGGCCCCTTCTCCATCCCTGACCCCTGGAGTCACAGCTTATTATTTTTTTACTTCCTCACCTTTTTTTTTAGTCCAGTATAAAGTCAAGCTGCCTTTTTTTTTTTTTAACCCTAAGTCCCATGACAACTGATTATACAGGTGAACCCTGATCATTATAATGGTTTACTGGTAGGATTTCTGGTAGCGGGCACAAGTACCAGGAATGCCAAACATTTTGGATTCGCAGCGCTGGGACTCAGCTACCAGCAGGGTCTGGTCGTCCTGGATGAGGATGTCTTTGACCTCCTTCTTGGAAGCCTCATCTACATATTTCTGATAAGCCACCAGGGCTTTGGAGATGGAGCCACAGATTGTGGAAGTCTGAGCCACGTGACCACCACCACACGGACTTAGAGGCCTCCGGCCTGGCAGGTCGCTCCTTGCCCAGCAGCAGGACAGGTTCCAATAGCTCGTCCTGCAGCGAACGTGGCTCGATTATCTCCAGGGGCCGCTCATTCACCTGGATAAGGCCGCTGCCCCATTTGGAGGGTGCCACCGCTGTGGCCATCTTCTTGCGCCCACTGCAGGGGACGCTTGCACCGCCTGGCTGGGAACACAGACCAGAGCGGCTCACCGCACAGCATGGCACCCGGACAAGGGCTCAAGCTGCCTTCTTTAGCACACATAAGTACCCTTTTTATCTGGAACCCGATATCTATCTCTGGCTAGAGGTTGAGTTTCTTACTCCCTTTCTCCACTTCAATTTCCTTCTTCTGGAACCTCACAATCTCTTTGACTTTTACTAGGTGGGTGGTTATGACTATCGGTTTGGCAGTCAGATCACCTAAGTTTGATCCTGGATTAGGTGCATATCAGCTGCAACGTTTTGGTTAAATTACTCAATCTCTTTGTGTCTGTGTTCTCTCACCCAAAGAGTGGTTGATAATAGTCCCTGTCTCATAGAGTTGTTATGAGGGTTAAAAAAGATAATACTTGTGAGGTGCCTGGCTGGCTCCGTCAGTTAAGTGTTGGACTCTTGATATCGATTCAGGTCATGATCTCGAGGTCGTGAGGTTGAGCCCTGCATCAGGCTCCGTGCTGAGTGTGAAGTCTGCTTGGGATTCTCTCTCCCCCACGGTCTCTGCCCCTCTGCCACTTGCACCCTCTCTCAAAATAATTAAGTAAACATTTTTTAAAATGCTGTAAAAAAAGACAATACTTGCAAAGTTCGTAGAACAGGCATCACCTTAGTAAGCACTTCATAAGTGTGTACGCATGCACACCTGTGTGCACGATCACGTGAGTGGTGGGAAAGTGGAGATGCTTTCGTTCCGGGTCTTGCCACCATGCTGAGTTCTAAACAGAACCTCAGTGAGAACAGCCTCCATTCCTACCCTCTCTGTGCTCCTCTGAAACTCCTAAGGTTCTTTGTGACCGTGAGCATAGGGCTCACTAACCCAGACAAGAAGCCTTCCATACATAGTCTCTGGCTCCCCCAGCCTCATTGTGGCACAAAAATAGACTGAGAAAAAAGCCACATTCACTTAACGTATCCTAGCTTGGGGTAGATTAGTCTTACTCTGAAGTTGATAATATTGATAATGATGTACTACATTTGGTGTTAGGTAGAGAAGGCTCGGGAGTCAGATCGTTGGGGCCCAGGTCTAGCATTTGCTTGTTTGCATCTGTAAAATGGGATGCTAATGAGAAATGGGTTTTTATGATAAAATGAGGTGATCTCTGAAATCAGCTATGTATGTGCAGTGGATGGCACAGAGTGAGTACGTGATAATAATGTTGACTACTATTATTATTACTAAAACCCTTTTTCCCCCCACTCAGTTGCCTCTGCTCGGGACATTCCATCCCTACCTGATAATTGAGAGTTGGGTTGTAGGACTTGCTAACTTCTTTTTTTAATGTTTATTTTTTAGAGAGAGCGAGAGTGTGAGCAGGGGAGGGGCGGAGAGAGAGGGAGACACAGAATCCGAAGCAGGCTCCAGGCTCTGAGCTGTCAGCACAGAGCCAGATGCGGGGCTCGAACCCACGAAGTGTGAGATCATGACCTGAGCCGAAGTCGGACACTCAACTGACTGAGCCACCCAGGTGCCCCGGACTTGCTAACTTCTAAGTGGAGAGTGTGTGTTTATTCATAGAAAATCACAGATACTCTTCTTGAGCAGATGAGAAGAGTTTA